AACTGAGTAATGGCTCTATGCCTTTTCCAATAGTTTGTGAATGTAATTTGGTACTAAGCGAATATTTGGTTGACTGCTTTAATAAATAAAATCAGGTAAGAAAATCTGGTGTATTAGCGATTGGCTCGGCCAAGTTTTGTGATCAGCCAATCGAAGTATCAATGGTAGCTTCCTCTATTGGCCGTGCCTTAATCAGGAATATTGAACTGGCACCGTCCCGGGTCTAAGTGATTGTATTGCTTTACGTTTCGCTTACGGTACACTTTGTTATGAGAAAATCTGATACGGAAGCTTAATTATTTATATAAATGTGTACACGAGAATAAAAACAACGAAAAAACAGGAATTTGAGATATGTGTACTAAGGATGGAAGGATGGACGAACAGACGAACGGTCATAGCGAAACTACAAAATGGCGGAACCATAAGGCTTCCTTGTCTTAAATGAATCGGTATGAATAAACAGACACTGGACCAATTTGGTTAATTCTTTTTTACTTTCGTTCGCATAGGGTGAAAGTTTTAATGAAAAGTTTTAAGAAAAAGTCCACGAATCTAAATATCGATACGACGCCGGGCGGGTCGCCAGTTTACAACAACACTCGGCATACAGATTAAGCCGTTACATAAATGAGTTTTCGTTTCTACGAATCAGCAACGTGCCACGGGCCACGGGTCTTTCATAAGCACCAGGAGGAGGGTTCTCACACGGTAATATTATCTATACAGTATTCTATCTTCATTTGGTTGCTGGAACACTTCAATAAATTAAACTTTTTATACGAATGCGTATTTATTATACTATTAAATTTAATAATAAAGCTTTTCGTACGTCTCAGTCGAGGTGTAAATATTTTTCTGTCTCAAATCCATATTTTTTTTATTCAATATTACACTTAAAATAACATGTATTTTATGTAACACTTCCTAATTCATTCATTTTTTTTACATATGAAATAAAATATTTACAATCACAAAACTAGAAAGAAACTCAATTATGTAGATGAAATTAAAATACTGTAGGCGGGCAGCCCTACCGCGTGGATACGCCCCGCTCGGCCGTAGGCAGTTATTTCAAGGACAGGGCCGAGTCATAATACTGTATAGATAATATTATCGTGGTTCTCATTTGATTAAAATGCACACCCTGTTGCGTCGATTCTCGGCAACATCGAGCAGTGCAACGTGGCCGTTTAATTATATCGTAGCACGTTTATAAAACGCAAATCGAGTCGTGAGTACGAAAAGTATTATTTTCTACTCATGGTAACTTTTTTGTTGCTATTTTTTATTATACGCAGTATTACTCTAAAAAAAATTATGCGAGTGTTAGAGTAAAGAGTGTCATAAATGGAACATACTCATCGCAAGCATTTGTAAACTATGGTAGGCACTTTATCAGGCGAACCAATGTTTGCTTGACACCCGTTTCACATAAAGAACCCCTAAATATACAAATGTAAAACATGTTACCTACTGTATTTTTATTTAACTAGTTACTTGATTTAAGAGAGTAGTCCTTGCTAGGTAGTGCAGTTTTTGATAAAGTACCGTATGTATGGCCTGTGTGCTCAAAAACTGACTATTTTATGTTAAACTTAAATTCTTTAAAAAGTTATATCTACGGATATCGGCCGGTGTATGAGTGCAGAGTGACTCTTACGCATATGCTGCGGTTTACAGCTTCAAAAACGAAGATTGGCCAGATTGAGTTTTGGATCGTCAAAAATTAACACAAATAGGCTAGTTGACCCTTTTTGGAAAAAAGTTTGAAATGGTTAATAAATGTTCTATTAGACCGAAAAAAATGTATTGTATTTTTTTTTGAGACCTAGAAGAAAGCTACAAATCTTTAATTTTAAAATAGACTTTTAATGGACATACAAAAACGCTGTCGGCCATTTTAGTCTATAGATTATCTATGCTATGATGTCAACCGGTAGTAAACAAAAACTCGTAAGCACATAGAAAATAACCTATCTGAGTTTATAAGAAAAAAAATACATGATTTCTAATAAATACCACGAAAAATACCTATAGTAATTTATCATTATTGTACTGTACGAGAATGTAAAAACATATCCTTGATGATTCCAGGAAAGTTGTGGATTAAAGTGCAGAAAGAAATTAATCTACGCAACTTTATTACACTTATTCATATGTTGTATCAGTTTTATGTTTATTATTATATTCCTGTAAAATAAATTGGAATTCTAAAAATAATTTAATATAATTATATTATAATATATATATATGTCGGAGAGCGGCTATTCACTTTGTCATTAGCGTTCACGGGCTTAGTGGGCGTCATTGGGGCTTGATACAGGCACAAAACCAAACAATCACTCAATCACTGTTCGTATAGTTTTAATTACGTTCTTTTAACAAAAACAAAATAAAAATGTTTCACACACACTTTACTTTACACTAAGGACACTTAAATAACGTAACAACCGAGCAGTGGGTTCAAGGTACCAATCTGACTTCACTGAACTACCGTATCACTTTTCTAGTAATGAACCGCAACGATCAGTTCCTCGCGTTTTAAATACGTGCAAAAACTACCTCCCACCTGTGAAAATCAAGATGGCGCCTCGACCCCACTCGAGGCACGTGCTCTGCTCTGATTGGACGCGACATAAGATGATTTATAAGAGACTTTTATTAAATTGTTAAGTTACTGAACAATACAAAAATTGTAATTAATAAAATCAAATTAAATTAAGATTTTATAAAATTATTTAAAGTGTAAACAATAGTCTTTTCGCGATTGACATTCAACAAGAAACTCTACTCGTCACATAATCCGACATATATTATATTGTAATACCAAATGCACTGTACTTACTTACATAGATGCCTTGACGTTTCTCTGCTCCGCAGAGCAGAAACAGGGGTTTAGTGCAAAAAAATCACCAACCATCAATGCGTCAATTCTTAGCAGATTTGTGCTTTCTGCTTTCACAAAGATAATAAGGCATATCACAATAAGGCATATGTAATTAGTTTTGTCAAAAAAAACAATAAATGGAAACTTTTCTAAACTTAAGTGTTTTAAGATAAATTTAGTCAGACGAAAGAATCCACCCACAGTAACACGCGAATGACATTTAGTTGTTTACTACCAAAGAGAAGACACAATCATGGTGGATGTTGCGAACAGCGTTTTTAGTGTTTAAAAAGTATAGAATAAACATTATATTTTAAAATTAAATTTCTTCAACAATCTTCTGCTTTTATGAAGTGAAATCGATATATTTAGGTTCCTTAGACCAAATACTTTAAGAAATATACATTTATTTTATACAATTCGACATGAGTCAACTAGCCTATTGGCAGTAATCCGTCAAGACGATGGGTGCTCGCACAACAATGCGATCGCGACCGACTCCCTCCGAACGAAGGACGAGCGTGAACAAACGGACATGGCGAAATTATAAAGCTCACTTTGTTGAGCCCTAAAAATAAATACTTGAAATATATATACCTACGCCAATAGCTCTTATTCTCATATTAATACTCATATTATCATACGAACATTTGCCCCATCGGAATTCGAAAAAAGGACTTCTGAGTATAATAACTTTGAAAACATAAAACTCCACCATCGAGGTCGGTGAAATCTGATACAAAGTATGTATTCTATCCGTTACCCTAGTATCCCATGACACAATCCTTAAAGTGCTTACTTTGGGGCTAGGCTAATTGGTGTGTTTTGGAAATATTTATTATTTGTTTCTTAGGTTTTCACGCACATCACTCATTAAATAAAACTAGTTTAAACGGGATAATGCGTAGCCTTTCCAGCCTGGAAAGGCTACGAAACGTCAATAAATAAATAAAGTTTCGTGCATTATCCCGTTTAAACTAGTTTTATTTAATATTTATTATTATTATTAAAGGGATGGCCTGCCCCAGCAGTGGGAACATTCATAGGCTGATCATGATGATTTTTATGTTATAATGCGGCCGCATAAAGAATAAGTTCGTGACAGATCGTATCAGTTCCATATATTGAAGGAAAGTGTCTTTTAGAATTTCTTTTTCAACTTACAAAAAAACGGAGGTCTCCTCTCAAGTCGACGAGTATTTTGTTTGCGCATCATAATTTACTATTGACCAATTATTGATAAAACATAAGAATTATTAAATAAAATTGGTATTGTCCTAACATCAGGCCAATGACGATTGTCAGTAGGGTTGCCACCCGTACTTTATTATAAAGTATTGCACGTTATTTCGGGTAATTGTTATTTATATTTTATGCCAACAATAAAGTACGCGTAATGTGGTTTGATTACTCGGGGATTAATTTTGAATAAAATATAGAAAAATAGATTGATAGGAAACATTTTTGGCACGCAAAACGGATAGACAGTATGTATAAATAATATGTCGCTCTTAGCTTATTCTTGCAGCTTTGTCGGTGCTGTATGTATGGCTTTGTACCATGACCTTTCCCGTTGCGGAAAAGAACTACAGATTTTTAGTGCTAGAAGCAATATACAATATATATTTAAACTTACTAATAAAGTGGAATAAATAGTACTTTATTTTGGACACACTTTATTTGGACGAAAAAAAGGTGCCAACCCTAATTGTCAGTACCATATGTAGAAAGAGTAAATAAAAGTGTGTGCCGCTTGCAGTATAGTTTTTATACTTCCCGCTGAGAGAATATTAAATTCTTTAAAGACAACCTTCAGGTGCAGACGCTTTGTATGCGTACACAGACATTTATTTATTTATATAAGCCGTCAAGACGATGGGTGCTCGCGCAACAATGCGATCGCGACCGACTCCCTCCGAACGAAGGACGAGCGTGAACAAACGGACATGGCGAAATTATAAAGCTCACTTTGTTGAGCCCCAAAAATAAATACCTACGCCAATAGCTCTTATTCGTTTTATTTAACTTTGAACTAAGTACATCTACTTATAAATATTTTTACTTATATTTACTTGATGTGCTGCTAAAACGTACTATAAAATCAACTAACCTTAAACCAGGCCATCGTAGAATCGTCATACAAAACCACCCATTCTTCCGACCACGAGTTCCATAAATATTTTCCTGTGAACAAAACAAAGTTGTTGTGAAAAATACCCAGACACCGATTTTACAGATCTGTTTTTCTTAGAATACGATTTTCTTTTTTAAATTGCATGTTGAGGTGCGTTTTCCGCCATTAAGAATGTAGGTAACCTTAATTATAATAAAATGAATGTTAGTGTCTAAAAACGCCAGCTTTTTAAGGGGCCGCAGAAGCCACAGAAACACATTTGTACTGGCATAGGCCAGTAACAAATATAATTGGTAAAGATCTATATCTTGATTTGATTTATCAATTTTAGGAGGGGGGGGGGGGTGCAAATCGTTCTGTACTGTACTGTTCTTTCTTGTAGCTCTTTCCATACATCTACTGCATTTTTATATAACGCCTCCCGATTTTTAAAAATGGTACCGGGCAACACTGATGAATTAACAGACCGACACACTTTCGCATTTCATTAATATACATTAAATGAAGTACAAGATATTTATGCCTAAAGAAAATTTTACTAGCAAAATCAACTCGATTCAAGTATCAGTCTGGATACGTTATATATAATTATAAGTCTTCCGAGAAATATATATTACTGATGAAAACCTTTTTACATAAGCAAAGAAGTAAATATCAATTTGTCTACATACTCGAATTAGGTATATGTCGTGTAAATATGACGCTTTCAATGTTTTACACCGGGGTGAATCTGAATCGGATGGGTTTATTATAATGCCGTCTGTCACTTCAATACGCAGCACAACACAGAGACAACGATTTAAACGGAGGTAATTTTTATACGCGCATGCTTTTTGGGTTTCGTACGGTAAAGAATTAAATAGAACGTAACTAAATTCACGGTGTATATATAAACAGGTAGTTATGACTCAGATACAAATACTCATATTTATCATACGAACATTTGCCCCATCGGAATTCGAAAAAAGGACTTCTGAGTATAATAACTTTGAAAACATAAAACTCCACCATCGAGGTCGGTGAAATCTGATACAAAGTCTCCGCTGTCCCGCTGTCTGCTAAAGTGTTTTTTTTTAATATATTTCCAACACTCGCACTAATTTGCCTAGCCCCAAAGTAAGCACTGTATATGGCTTGTGTTATAGGATACTAGGGTAGGGATAGAATACATATACTGTACATATATAAGTATTATAATAATTTTAATTTATATAGAAATACATATTAAACATCCACGACTGTAGTACAAATGCTTGTATTCATCATATAAACATCTGCCCCCACCGGGATTTGAACCCGGGACCTCTCGAGTAGGAGACACCGTGAAACCCGGCGTACAAACCACTCGGCCACGGAGGTCGTCAAAAGTGACCATGCAATCAAAATGGATGCGCTGTACCTCGCTGTACTATGCATAAGTTAGTACTATGTGCATGTTATACAGACACCCACCAATCAGCTCTGGGCCGACATGGTGGAAGACTGAGCCATGGCCATATTCTATAGATGACCTCCGTGGTCGAGTGGTTTGTACGCCGGGTTTCATGGTGTCGCCGACTCGAGAGGTCCCGGGTTCGAATCCCGGATCGAGATGTTTGTGTGATGAATACGAGCATTTGTAGTCCAGTCATGGATGTTTAATATGTATTTCTATATAAATATACTTATATATGTACAGTGTATGTATTCTATCCATTACCCTAGTATCCCATAACACAATCCTTTACTTGGGGCTAGGCTAATTGGTGTGTATTAGAAATATTTATTATTATTATTAAAGGGATGGCCCGCCCCAGCAGTGGGGACATTCATAGGCTGATCATGATGATTTTTATGTTATAATGCGGCCGCATAAAGAATAAGTTCGTGACAGATCGTATCAGTTCCATATATTGAAGGAAAGTGTCTTTTAGAATGTCTTTTTCAACTTACGAAAAAACGGAGGTCTCCTCTCAAGTCGACGAGTATTTTTTTGTGCATCATTATTAACTATGGACCAAATATTGATAAAACATAAGAAATATTAAATAAAAATTTTACTGTCCTAACATCAGGCCAATGACGATTGTCAGTACCATATGTAGAAAAAATATTGTATTCTCTTTATTTCCCGCTGAGAGAATTTAATTAAATTCTTTATCTAACGATAACCATCAGATGCAGACGCTTTGTATGCGTAGGTACACAGACATTTATTTATTTTTATTATTTATTTTTGGCACAGTGGAGCTCGATGGCGCAAGTGGTTAGCGCGTTCGGCTGCGATCGTTGAAGTTAAGCAACTTTCGCAGTGGTCGGTCATTGGATGGGTGACCAAAAATTTACTATCTCGAGCTCCTCCGTGCTTCGGAAGGCACGTTAGGCCGTTGGTCCCGGCTGCATCTGCAGTCGTTAGCACCCACCAATCCGCACTGGGCCCGCATGGCCCAATCTCCCTATTCCATCCATGGGGAAGGCCTGTGCCCCAGCAGTGGGAACATTAATAGGCTGATGATGATGATTTTTTGGCACGGTAAAAAAATACAAATCAATATAGTTACAATAACAAATCTTAGTCGGTATATATTATTTGTTTCTTAGGTTTTCACGCACATCATTTATTAAATAAAACAAGTTTTAACGGGTTAGATGCACTGATTTTATTTATTTATTGGCGTTTCGCGCCCTTTGCAGGAATGCGTCGTCAGAATAATGATTTTTTATTTACTTTGTCGAGATATTCGAAAGACTTGTAAGCCCGTCACAGACGTAGCTATAATATATATCGAAATATATATTATACTAGCTGACTCGGCGAACTTCGTACCGCCCAAAATTAATAATTTGCAATAAATTAAAATTGCGACTATAATTTGAGATTTAAACTATCCTATCTCTCAAGTTGGATCGAATTGCACATGGTGTGCGAATTTTATTATAATCGGTTCAGTGGTTTAGGAGTCCATTGAGCACAAACATTGTGACACGAGATTTATATAATATATTTTGGTGCTCTATACCTTAATAATACAGTTTTTATTTTTAAGAAAGCTTTTATTGGCAAAAACCTGCTTTAAGCAAAATATAGTAGTTTCGCCTACTTTATATGTTTTTAGGACTATAGTTAGTTAGTTAGTTCTTCAGGGCGTTTTCCGCACTTAGTCCTAATTATTGGACCATTGTGCGTGAAAGGAATATAGTATTTGATCCCCTAATATAGTAGGATACTATATTATATAGTAGAGTTGGCAACCTTAATTGTACACATTTTCCGTAGAAGCACCAGATCGCTTCGAATCGGTTATTTTTTTAATTCTTTCGTATTTAATTCGATTTTAATGAGTTTATCTTCGCAATGACATCTTTGGTAGTCGCGCCAGGTTTAATTCTTTTTTAAATTCAAATAGTTGCTCATAGGCATTCGCCCTTTTCACTTTATTTACAGTGTCGGCACTTGAGCTGTCCCATACCTCTGGTAGTGTTTTAACATTAGTATGAATTGTTTCAAGTGCTTTTGGTTGTTTGTATGCGGTACGGCGGGCGCTGCCGCCTCAATATGCGCGTCCTCTTCCATCGCTGACAATATTAATACTGACGCAATAAATATCGATTAGAGACTAGACGCTCGATATTTATCAACGATACTTGATACAAATCGTGGATTTTAGGATTTCTAGAAATCCAGCGATCCGTACCACGATATGTGAATAATTGGTTTTCGCTGAAGGTATTTCATTCGCGCGTGTTTTAAATTCGTTCAAACAAAACACATTTAGACGCAAATAAACTTTTTGCTAGGATCAAATTGATATATACACTAATGAATTACTTCGCGGAAAAGCAAGTACATGATAATACTATGTTTTGCCTGAAATCATAATAGTTCTTGGGTATGTTATCTTCATGTAATTTGATTTTGTAGATGAAATCACACAAAGATTACAGTAAACCCTTTAAAGGAAAACCATTTTTACTGTGTTATTTTGTTTTGCATGGGATCCGAACCGGTAAAAAATTTATTATGTCAACATAAATTATTTTTATTGAAGCCTTGCACGGCTAACTAGTCTTAAAATTGGTTTTTACATGCGGTAACTTCGAAACGGAGCGTTTGATGAAGAAAAGGGTTTTACCTGCCGATAGAGCAGAAAAAACTTAGTCGATGCATGCAATAAAAAGATTTTTTGATAAAGTCGTCAAAATTGGTTTTGCCTGCGTAACCACGATATATTAAGATTATAGCAAACTACCACAGACGGGAGCTATACTATAATATATATTTTGCCCTCAATCGGTCTGCGGTCGTACTGTACCGTAATATATCTGTCGACATATTTTGGTGACGTCATAGAAATATATATTATAGCTGCGTGTGCGGTCACTCGAAAATTTATATTGAAAATATGTTGTAATACGTCTTGCTATGATTCATATTAATATATATTATAGCTACGTCTGTGACGGGCTTTATTGAGCGTTCGGATATTGCATTGGAAGATTTAAAAAGAAAATTGTCTATGCTTGAATTTATTACCTAATTTAATTAATAAAGTACTTAATATCATTATTTTTTATAAATTTGTGTTCATTTATTTGACACTAACTACCGTAAACTTTATATATTAATTTACATTTCGATAAAAACCGAGTACAACATGCACATTGAAATTATGCTGTTAGTCTTTTTAGTAACACAACTATAAATATATTAAGGGGACATTTATTGGTAAAAGGCAAGCTAACATTCTAACTTTGACGACCTCCGTGGCCGAGTGGTTTATACGCCGGGTTTCAAGGTGTGGCCATCTCGAGAGGTCTCGAATCCCGGTGGGGGCAGATGTTTGTGTGATGAATACGAGCATTTGTACTCCAGTCATGGATGTTTAATATGTATTTCTATATAAATATACTTATATATGTATCAGTTTATGTATTCTATCCGTTACCATAGTATCTCATAACACAAGCCTACAGTGCTTACTTTGGGGCTAGGCTAGTTGGTGTGAGTGTTGGAAATATTTATTTATTTATTCTCTGATTCCTTGACACTTGGTTCCTTTACTCTTTAAAAATGAACCTAAACTTTGATGCAATATATCAAGGCCCTGACATTAATTTTATTTTTCACATATGCATAACGCGAGTCTATTCTGTGACACATTTTTCTGGCAAAAGGTATAAAAAGCAGCGTTGTCTACGATTTGATTTAGCTGAAAGTCTCAATGAAGATGGCTCAAGACACCAAAATCAATAGTATAAAAGAGAGGTGAAGTTTGTGTAATCTTGAAAGGTCGCTCAGATGCGGTTTCATCAAAAGTCTTTCTTCATACTTTTTTAATATTTTGCCCAGACCTAGTTTATGACTTCAAGCCTGTTTATATGGTTGTTCTTATCAAGGTGACCACACTGTGCAACAATATTCAAGTATGCGAGGCATGATGCCTTTTCCACTACTACGTCTATCGCTCGCCATGTAGCTTCGGAATCCCAAATAATTCATAGATATACGTACACAAAGGTGTGGTTCTAATTTTCACCACCCGCACGTGGCACCATTTGGAAATGTGCGCCTTTTCCTTATTAGAAAAAGTTGGCTACATTACTTAAATTATTAATTTTATTAAGAACTAGCGGCCGCCCGCGACTTCGTACGCGTGGAGTTAGTTATTTGCACATACTTTTTGACCCCAAAAGGGTTCACCGCTCGTTCCCCGTAGGTAGGGTTACTATTTAAAATTTTGAAAAGTAATGACAAAAAGCCGAACTAATGGATAAAAGTCCGGACATTTTAGTCACAAAATGCAAACATCACCCACTAAGTTAGAGTGATATTATACGCGTCGTGGTAGCAGACGCCCGCATCGCGAGGGGGGTCTCGTAGTTGATTTTATATTTAAGATAATTTATATTTTGTTTTAAATTAATGAAAACTTAATAAAGATTATTTGATATAACTTAATAAGTAGATTTCCATTTAAAAAAAATCCGGACAAATTAAAAAGCCAGACAAAGTCTACCAAAGACAAAGTAACCCTACCCCTAATATAGATAAAGATAGGTACTGTTTTCTCGCAAATGTGTTGAAAAACGTTGTATGACATTCGTGTGGAATTGGTATTTACAAGTGACTATGGTAGTTACAAACTCGTGACTTACTCGTTTGTAATAACCAACTTACTGCAATAATATCATAAATAACTATTACATATTTTTTTCTAGCTTTTGTCAAAAAACATAGTATTATTTCATTTAATAAGAAGTATTTACCTATGAAATTGCCGTACTGGCTATTTCAACTCAATTTTTTTTCGTAAAGAATTCTTAGTTCAAATTATTTTTATTTCTAAAACATGGAATTGTTATTGAATATTTGCCATTTGTGTATCGGTTAGCGTTCTGTTTTCAGCACATTTGTACGTTTTTCGTCGTAATGCATACGTTCAAAATTCGAGTGATTATATACTATGAGTCCGGTCGTGGCAGCAAAGTGGCAGAAGCAGCACGCAACATCAACGACGTATATGGAAGGAACATACTAACATCGCACCACCCGTTATTGGTTTGCCCACTTCCATTCTGGAAATTTCAACCTAAGAAATAAACCGCGTGGCGGACCGAAAACTTTAGTTGACAATGATGAATTAAAGACGATTGTGGGAGCTGATGATTCTCAAACTACAGTTTAATTAACAGCAGCTTTCGATGTTAGCATCAAAACAATATTCGTCCATACGCGTCAAATTGGCAAGGTGAAGTTCGCGCCAAGTCGAGCCTTGCAGTGCTTAACAGGTACAGAAACGAAGGCATATTTGAAACACATTGTTGCTTGCGAGGGAAAATGGATTCTGTTCAACAATCGCAAGCGCTCAGCAAGTTGGTTAGATCCTGGTTCAGCACCTAAACAATGCCCAAACCGAAAACTGACCCCTAAAACAGCGATGGTCACTTTTTGATGGTCTAGCGCCTGTGTCATTAATCACAGCTTCTTACCAAACGGGATGAGCATTACTGCAGATGTGTACTGTGAAGAACTGAACACAATGTTGAAGAAGCTCGCATGTCTCTTTACAGCTTTGGTTAATCCTTCGGCACGACTACTCCTGCACGGCTACGCGCGATCTCATACTGCACAGCGGACGCTCTCCAAGTTACAAGTGCTGGGGTTGGAAGTTCTCCGTCATCCACCGTACTCACCAGACCTTGCCCTTTTTTGTCTGGGAAATACCTGACGCATCTTTCAACCACCGGGGGAGCGAGAAGAAGGTATGTGGGACTCCTCCCTGCTCATTACAGCCAGCCCTTGGGCCGGATGAAATGAGCAGGGCCCTACCTAACGCCCTGAACAGGGCCACTAAAAACCAGACAATACGCCTGCACCAGGGACACACAATACATACAAGAGCGGTACTGCGACATACTAGCGCCCGAATCGACGCACGCACACTGACAAACGTCATTTACTCGGCCGCTAACCAATCTTGCCAAGACAAATCTACGCAGTGCCACGTCGCGCGCCGCCGAGACTGTTCGTTGGCCGAGTTTAGTAAGCTGAGCCACGCCGCCCGCGCCGTCTGCCTCCGTTTCGATTCCGTAACGTGGCAATAGTAACTATACACATACAATAGAAATCTACACAAATATTGTTTTACATTTTGTAGGTACCAACCCTAGTGCGCCGCTCAGTCGTAGGTATCTATTTCAAGAAAACGGCTGAGTTACGCTACTGCTCTTGTATGTATTGTGCCGGTGACCCGTACATTCTGAGGACCGCAGTCCCCCGAATGCACGCCGGGACTGCGGGTGTGGTCGCGGCAACCGTTGCCGACTGTCCGCTCAACCGCAAGGTGACCTTGCTCCAACAAAGTTCTACCTTGTTCAGACCTTGCCCCTACAAATTTCTACCTTGTTCAGACCTTGACCCTACAAAGTTCTATTTTTTTCAGAATTTGGATAACTTCTTGGCGGGCAAAAAAAACAATAACCGAGAAATGCCTTTGAAGAATTTGTTGCTTTCCGTGCAGCAGACTTATTCAAAAAGACCATCAAGCTACCACTACGTTGGCAAAGATGCATTGATTGCATGGGTAATTACTTTGATTAATAACATAAAAAATTATATAAAAAATAGCGTTAACTTATTTCATGCCTTAAAAAGAGTTTTGAAGAGTAACTTGCACTTACTCCCTTTCGACTTTCACATGTGCTTGTAAAAGCCTAAACTGAATAAATGATTTTTGAATTGAATTGAACATGATAACGGCAATTTCATCGCTTTAAGTCTTTGCCTACGTTTACTTACGTTTGTACCGTAGCATGTAACCTCCTTTAATCTGTGTTCCTCCATGTTCTGAAACAAACAAAACTAAACATTATTTTCCCATAGATTAGATATTAAAGGATATTAGGACTTTTTGCTCGAATTGGAACCCCAGTCTGGGAAGTAACCTCCACCTTCCTTTTTGGCGGGATCGGAAAGCATCACTTTAGCAGTTTTGTTTTTCTTGTTAAAAATTGTGTTGTGGCGGATGTTAGAAGTGTTCGGGAACATGCACAAGTGTTGGCAAGTGAAACAAAATAGCGGAAAGTGTCTTTCGACGTTCCCTCAAGAAGTCCACGGGGAGGTTCCAGTAAAACTCCACACATTTACTGAAACACAGGGAAAGGGGGATTGGCTTGACTGCCACTTACTTTGACTTGATTTATTACTTTGACCACGAGTGCTATAGAATTTGTACACATTTTTAACACTTGACATTGGCTAAATGCACAAGCCGTGCGAAGCCATTTAGGAAAAAAAAACAAACCTCCACCTTACAAAAGATGACAGTTAAAAAAATAACACTACCTTCTGATGGTGTTGTGTTTCTGTCGGTGAGTAAGGATCCTGGGCACTACGGGGTAGGGGATTGGGTCAGGGTAGGCAACGGTGCGAGTGATATTTTTGGTATCGCAAGCAGTGGCGTCTCTGACCTATTGGAGGCCCTGGTCATATTAGAATAATGGGGCTCCTATGACCCCCGTTCGGTGATTTAACAGGACTATGGACTTTGTATTTGATCTGAGGGAGGCCACTATCGATCGCGGGGCCCTTTTTTTATTTTTTTTTGTGACGCACAGGCAAAAGCTCTGTTTACAGGCGACGGCGCCTTTAAGAGGTACACCGCCGAACGGACCTCACACCTGGCTCCCGCAAACCTTACGAGCCCCCACAGTGGCTGCCCACTGACGGGCGCTTTACGGCATAATATCCGATAAAAAACCCTGCGAATACCCTCTAAACTGCTTAGTGCGAACCGCGGGATCCCCATTTAGTGATTCTTCCGCGTCTCCGCACCCAGCAGCCTCCCGGCCTAGCCGGGGCTCCACGGCAGGGGTCACCAGAGGTATTGCGGGGACCCCGCAGACGTGCGCAGGATGGCCCGCGCGTGGGGGCTGAACGCGGCCTAGTGCCCATCGTACCGCCCCCCGTATCGATCGCGGGGCCTTGGGCACTTGCCCAAAGTGCCCACTGGGAAAGAGGGGCCTGATCGCAAGCGTCTATAGTTTATGGTGTCCACTTATCATCAGGCGGGCTATAGGCTTGTTTGTCACCCTTTTAGCATGAAAGAATATAAGAGAAACATTACTTTTACCGAGTTGTCCATCAAGGCAAAGCGACCTAATTTGATGAGGAGTTCCGATGAATAAATGTTTCGATTTCCGTTTCGCCCTTTGGTTATTAAACCCTTAAAATAGAAGCAATCTTCATTCATTCAAACCTTCATTTTGAATCGTTCGTATGTACTTTTTTTTTCTTAATGGCTTCGCACAGCTTGTGCATTTAGCCAATATCAAGTGTTAAAATGTTTACAAATACTATAGCACTCGTGGTCAAAGTAATAAATCAAGTCAAAGTAAGTGGCAGTCAAGTCAATCCCCCTTTCCCTATGTTTCAGTAAAAGTGTGGGGATTTACTGAAACCTCCCCGTGGACTTCTTGAGGGAACGTCGAAAGACACTTTCCGCTATTTTGTTTCACTTGCCAACACTTGTACATGTTGCCGAACACTAAGTGGTTAATAATCCACCATTATTAGACACTAACATCCGCCACAACACAATTATTAACATGTAAAATTTGTTGTGTAAAAATTAAATTATTATTATTATTGTTGTTTATTGAAATTGTTAAATCTATTTTATAAAATATAATTGTTGTGTTAAAATGAAATGTGAACTAAGTATTATAATATAATTATTTAACAAGCCCTCTGGCTTGATATTTGCTATGCCCTTGCAGGGCGTCATATATTTACTTTACATAAATTAATGTACCATCATGAATGTTATGTGACATTCAATAAATGAATAAATAAATCAAAACTACTAAAGTGACGCTTCCCGATCCCGCCAAAAAGTCCCTCGTATATACTTCTTCTTCTTCTTTTTCTTTTTTTATGGCATGCACGGTTTGTGCGTTCAGCCTCGTATATACTCATAAGGACAAGATACCTCTATTAGTCTATACTATTATTTTTCTTCATCTGCAGTGCTATCACATGAGTAAACAAACGTACAGTCTTAGGCTGTTCTGTAAAAACAAACTCACTTTTTACAGCAGAATCAGTGGTGTGATTTGAAATTAGCAGACGATTTTCAAATCTCCATCAATTAGATTCGTATTCTAATTTCAAAGTACACGTGAATTCCGAGCGACGTTGTAATACAGTAGTTGCAATACACAACCGACATGTTTTTTTTTTACTAAAAATGAGATTGCCACTCATAGATTATAAATAACAACACCTTTCGAATGAAAACATGTCCAAAATCCCCTTATTTACTAAGTTTGCTACAAACTGATCTCAAGAAAGCACACTAAAACCCTGTTAAGAAAAAGAGATTTTTTTTCATGTTAGTCATGTCACTCTCATTCCGAGAGGGTGCAACAAATGAATATGAGTTTTACACTCAGACGCTTCTATTGAAGTGAACCTATTTTCATTGTTATCCTATCAGTCGCGTTCCTTCTCGCCCTCCCATCCTAATAGGTAGTACCTATTATCATCGTAGTCGTAATAAAATCTGTCTGGCGTCTGTCGAACTCCAAAAAATTGCACCAAAGTGAAACCTCTTTAGAAGAATCTCTTTTAATATTGTCTGCACAAAATTTTAAAACAAGCTGTGTTTATTCATGTGATTTTTTCTTTAGTAGGGGTAACTCTTAATTACAATCTTTTATTTCAAGCCGAAGTTAACCCATTAATTTAACCACTCTGCGCTGGCTAGTAACTATTTTTTATTTAATTTCTTAGTTATTATATCTTTTTTATCGTATATTGCTAAATTCGTGTCTTATTATGCATGTTTGTCCGTATTTATAAAGTTACACCTGACGTCAATAAATACCCGTCTGTAAAAGCGTACGTTGAATAAACTTTTTGGATTTGATTCGATATGCGGCCTGTACAATATAAGTTGTTGTACTGTAATTCCAAATCCTATTTCCAGGACTTAAAAATAACTTTCAAACCCACATAGATAAATCGAGATATATGATAGATATAGATATATTGATAGATAAGATCCTTAATTCACACCAACATGCACGCATACAAAATTGACAAGACAATTTTTACAATTAGTAAATGCTTTAAAAAAGGCAACAAATTCTATTTACACGTCTGTACTATGGTATTATAGCAGCAGCGATGCGAACGGGCGAATACTCAGCGAAACATTTACTTAGAGAGTAAATCGCTGATTTTCAGTTCTGACATAAATATATGAAGACTGTTCAATATCCCGAATGCATCTTAACCGTGCACAAGACAAACGCTTGCACATCTGTATTCTATTAGCCCACGCCTATATTTCTATAGAATGAAAGGCAGGTGTCGCAGCGAGCGCGACTGGTCCGATATTGGTTTTATGCTAATATTTAATCGTAGACCCCGTCCATATCAACCAAGATCCTTGTAACCTTAGGGCTCAGATGGTTAGAAAAGGCCCGACCGTGTTCATTTTATATTTCAGGCTTTCAAACAATGATATTTTTTAGGTTAGACGACGTATTATAGCGAAGAATACACAATAATGAACATTGCTAAAATTTTACTGCAGTATCATCTTTTCAATTTCTTAAGTGCATGATAAGGAAATATAGAAATACTATGATTGTAAAGTTTTATTACAGACATGACCTCCATGACAGAATTAGGTATATTGAAACACTGATGAGCATCAAAAAACATCATAGTTAGTTAAACAGACGTCAGACGACCTCCGTGATCGAGTGGTTCGTACGCCGGGTTTCATGGTGTCGCCGACTCGAGAAGTCTCGGGTTCGAATCCCGGTGGGGGCAGAAGTTTCTGTGATGAATACGAGCATTTGTACACCAGTCATGGATGTTTAATATGTATTTCTACATAAATATACTTATATATGTACAGTATATGTATTCTATCCGTTACCCTAGCATCCCATAACACAAGCCTTACAGTGCTTACTTTGATTTTTAGAAATGAATTGTTGATTGAAATAAACCTAGTCTTGTCCGTTGCCATAAATATTGTGAAATGGAAAATATTCTTTTTCTATTTGCATAAATAATTTATTTTATTATTCTAATATGTATTATTTTAAACATTCATATTATAACACATCATTTGAAATGATCTCCACTGGCTTTAATACAGAAACATTTAGGTCTGTTATCAATAGAAATACGCGCTCTCTCCATGGGTAAATTCTTTACTGCCAATCTTATGGGGTGTTTTAGAGACTCCAAATCATCATAACCATTAACCATCCAGCGAATTAAGTTAGGGACGAGATGACGGCCAGTCTTCAGCTGTTATGAAGTCAGAAACGTTAGTTTCCAACCACGCTTGGGTAGATCGTGCTTTATGACTCGGTGCTGAGTCTTGTTGAAAAGATCATTCTTGATTATGATTATGGACCATTGTGTCTTTAAAGCTTGAGCATCTTCTCAAAAATCGTATCTTGCTATACTTTGTGCCGGCGTTTTGTAACTTACTTCTCAAAGATACACTCAGTCACTCTTTGATAGCTAACTTCCAACCAAACCATCACTGAAATCGAATTATGTCAACATTGTACTCTGCTGACTAATTGGGAAGCTTCTATCGAGCTTCGAGGATAAACTCGATATTTCTGCTTGTTAAACATTGCTCAATAGTAAAAAAAACTCGTCAGTAAATAAAAATATTCAATGTCCTCCCGCGTACCGCTTCAAAAGTTCCTTTGATTTTAGTACCCTATTCATTTTTAAATTATTTTTATTATATAATAATTATCATGTACTCATAACCCAACATTTAAAATCGTAAAGCAACACGGCCGTCG